GAGTGTGCTCAGCGGGATTTCTGCCCGTGACCCCTTTGCAAGCTCAGAAGGTCACCCTCTTTTTGTAGGGTGCCTTGTGTCCCCCCAGAATTCATGTCAGAGTCCTAACGCCTAGTGTCTCAGGAGTGTCTTTATCTGGAGACGGGGCTGTTAAAGAGGCAATCAGATTGAAATAAGGTCTAATGACCTGATCCATTACGACCCACATGCGCGTAAGAGGAGAGTTGGCTACACACGTACACGGAGAAAAGGCCACGTGAAGACGAAGGCAGAGATGGGGAGGACGCTTCACAAGCCAGTGAGCGCCAAAGGTCACCAGCAAACCACCAGAAGCCACGGAAGAGTCCATGACAGACCCTCCCTCACCACCTCGGGAGGACAACCCTGCTGACACCTTGACCTTGGACCTCTAGCCCCCAGAATGTGAGACCAGACTGTGTCAAACCCGTGTGTGGTGCTTCATCGCAGCGGCCCTAGCTAACTGATACACAACTGTGTTGAAATCTCCACTGCATTTAGGCAGCGTTGGGCTGGTCCCGGCGGAAGGAACCTGAGGAGCTCATAGCCCTGGCCTCCATCTGTCACAGGGGAGAAATACATCCAAGAAAGGGCATGGGACACAGTGCATTCCGGGTCAGCAGGTTCCCACCTGATGCCCCGGGTGAGGCGTGAGAGGCCCCACTATCTGGGCCACTTCCAAGGGGTGCCTCCTCAGCCCACCCACTGCAACCGAGGGGATCGTGGGGGCTTTCAGGTATGCAAATGTGCGCTTAGGAGGAACCCATACACGCTTTCCACGAGTCTTCTAGGGACCTGAGCCTGAACCCCAGGCCCCAATCCTGCACTCAGGACCAGCACTAGGGACACAGACGACAGCTCTTGTGAACAAGCCAAGAAGGCCAATGTCCCGACCCCAGAGCAGCCCAGACGCTGGGGGTGGGGGATCCCAGGGGAGGCTTAGAAAGGCCACAGCCCCAACTTTTCCACTTGTCAACTTTCACTGCTCATTAGATCACCTGGGGAGCTTTGAGAACTGGATACTTGGGCCCCCACTGCAGACCAGTTAAACAGAGACACCAAAGGTGTACCCCCGTGTCAGTATGTTTTCTAAGGCTGCTCTGCAGCTGGAGGGGTAAGGGGAAGGGGCAAGAATCTCCACCTGAAATGTATTCCAACCACAGCGGATGCTGTTCATTTTGTAGACATAACTGTATTATGTCTCCTGGGGAAGGTGATTTCTCTTTTGTTTTTATTTTTTAGTTGTCTTGAAATTGTTTCTGATAAGAGATTTAGAAAGCCCCTTCAGGAGGCTGATCCCTGAGGTGTGTGGGCTGTTTACAACACCCCTGCCCTGTCTGAGCAAGAGCAATTCGCCTGCACTTACACCCCATCAGGGACCAAGGATGGAGCCGTCCGGACACAGCCCGGGGCCTGCCCATGTGAGAGCCTGCAAGTCAGAGATGAGGTAACATCTCCTCGGAGCCCCTGCTTCTGGGCATTTCAGATCCGCGTGAGCCTGACATGAAGTGACATGTTGGTGGGAAGATATGGAGTCTCTGTGGGGTGTGTGAGTGTGTGAGTGTGTGCTGGCCTTTGTGTGGTGGTGTGGACCTGTGCACAGGGATGCACGTGTGTGCGTGCATGAGCCATGCACATGTGCGTGGGTGTGCACGTGTGGTCATATACTGGGGTACGCATGCATGTGCACGTGTGTGTGTGTGGGTACCTGTGTGTGCAGTGAAAGAAAAGCAGCAGGAGGGATTTCAGATCTTGGTCCTTTCCACGAGGGCCTCACCCTTGAGACCTCGTGGGTGCAGTGACCCCCATCCTCACTGCTCTGGCCCCGTTATGTGCAATGGCTGCCTCAGTAAACACAAGCTCCGGGCCACAGCCCAGAAGTGGCCAGAGGAGGAAGTGCCCTTGGCAGGGAAGGACTTGAAGTGAAGGCTGAAACAGGAGACACCCCAGCATGGGTTGAGAAGCTGGGAAACTGTGTTAAATTCCCATCTCTTCAGGAGACTTGTCGAATACCTGCTCTCACAGAGGGATGGTTCTCTCCGTGTGGTTGTTGGGCTGTCACAAATGCATGGGAGAGGCCTTCCCTCAGGGAGCAGTGAAGGAAGGAAGTTCTCACGTCTCTGGGCCCAGAAGACGCACCGCCAGAAGGGAGCAATCAAGCTGAACGCTGTTTGATAAGCATGATTTCCTCTCACCTCGAGGCCGGTCAAGGTGTCAGCGGTGCCACCAGGATGCTCCACACTCATGGGGGACTTTGTGTATGGCAGAGCCTGGGATGAGGAGTCCAGACAGCCCTCACCCCTCAGGAGTCTTCCCGCTGCATCCTGGGGGCTCTGGCGACCTAGAGGACATGTGCCCCTAGACCCTAGCTTGCTGCTCTGCCCTAGGCAGGTCTGGCTCATGGCTACCCACAGCCCCTGACTGTGCCATCCACAAACTGCCCAAGACTTCTTTGACTTCCCAGACACTGGTCCCTCTTCTCTTTCCTCCTCCTCACCCCACCCTATTTGACTTTCCCGTAGGAAGCTTCAAGGCCAGGCAAAGATGCTTCTTTTCATCATTTGCAAACACTGGCGCATTCTGCTCCAGTGTCGGTGCATCCGCGTCCTCTGTTCGGAGGGAGCTGGGGTGAGCAGCAGTGTGTGCTGGTGGGTGGCGAGTGGGCACACTCAGCTCTGCACAAGGTGAACAGCTTGGTCTGATGACAAAACGCCACCGGGGTGAGACCCAGAGCAAGGGACATGCAGGTTCCCTCTCCCAAGGCTGAGCTGCCCGGCTACAGGTTCAGCACCAGCACACGGGGACAGCGCCCTGCCCAGTTCCTTCCCACTCCGGGGCCTTTCAGCCAGATTTTGCAGGACCCGCGGGGGGCACTTGCTATTCCCAGGGATCACCTCTTCCCCCCAGAACCTGCTGCCCCCAACCTGGGATTGTGCTTCCCAACACTGCCGCAATCGTGCGGCCCCCTCGTTAGTCCCTGTCGCCTTCGCCCCCTTCAAAGTGGATCCTCTATATACACTGTTCCTCTCTGAAGACACTTTGCAACTTTCCTAGTTCTACTGGAGAAGTGCATCAACCTAAAAGAAGGACTCCAGTGGTGTGAACTGCAAGCCACAGGAATAAAAATCTTCAAACCACTAGGTCATTTAGTGGCCTCCCCCTATGCAATACCAGCGGGTCCTAGTACTGCCTTCTGACCAAGGTCATGAGAAGCATTACTCGAGTTACTGGCAGACTCCAACTCGCAGGGGAAAACTGCAGAGGCTGAGTAGCTGCCCAAGACCAAGTTGTCAATGGCTTTGTCCCCACCAACATCCTCCTCTCTCCAACATTCCTATGCTACAGAGCATTAGCATTTGTGGCCAGGACAAAATGCTGATCAGACAGAGACATCTAGAACCAATAGACCATCAAGATGATGGGTGGGCTCTGGACAAGAATTACATTTTAGCTCGAAATCCACCCTTAGAGTAAATTAATGGACTGATGAAGAAAAGTCAATTTGTAGGTGACAACTCTGGGGCCTTCCTTAGTCATGCCCTATGAGAAAGGGGAAAAAACCCACAAAGCACAAACCCCTAACCATGAAGAAAAAGAAAAAGAAAAAGATCAATAACTCTGATTACATTAAATTAAGGCCTTCTATTCCTTGGTCGGGGGGGGGGGCGGCTAACAAAGACAAGCCACAAATTAGGATAAGATTTTTAAACAGGTAAAAGTTGCATGGGGTTTATAACCATTGTATATAAAGAACACCTACAACTCAACAAGAAAAACAAACCACCCAGCAGAAAGGTGGGCAAAGGACATGAACGGGCATTTAGTCAAGAGTAAAGAAGGACAAGCATATGGCAGACTGCTCGGCCTCACTAGCTGTCAGGGAAATGCAAGTTCAGAACATAACAAGAGATCATGACATGACTTGACACCCTCAGTTAAGAAGTGTAATGACCCCACATGTGGGGGACAACATGACCACTGGGAACCTCCAAGTGCTGAGGCTACATTGGTGCCGTCACTCCGGCAAACAATGAGCATTATCTTGTAAAGCTGGATTTTCACACACCATCAGTCCCAGCAATTGGGTAACTTAGTCTATACTGAAGAGCAACTCAGTCTCTACCCAAGAGAAACCATGACACAGGTACCTCATGTACAGGTGTATCTACCACAGCATCACTCAAAATAACTTACAAAAAGCAGGGGGGAAATGTCCACAGTCAGGAAAAACTGAAAAATAATGATGGACCATCCAAATAATGAAATCTCAAACAGCAGTGAAAATGAATAAAACACAGTTCCATGAACAACATGAATGAAACTCTGAAATGTAAGAATGGGTGAAGAAAGCATGTCTCAAACATCACATACAGCAGGTGCCATTTGTACAAAGCTCAAATCAAACCAAAATGAAACAAAACCATATATTGTTTATGGATACCTGAGTATGTAAAACACACCCACACACATACACACACACACAATCCTTCCCCCTCGCATCACCATCTCCCACCCCCAAGAATATCAGGGGGACTCTGGAAAGGCAAGTTTTGGGGATGGGACAGACATCACGGCCCACCTCACCACCCTGCAAGTCTTACCAGCTCCCAAAATAGGTCCAGGAAGGAGCCCAATTCCAGAAGGAAAACCCCGAGGCTATACCTCACCCACCAAGATGACAGAGAGGACGCCTTCGACATGACATGGCTCGATTCCACAAACCAGTATTTGTCAGCCTCTGAGTGCAAACACTGGGGCACCTATTGGCCCAAGATGGAGAAAAGGACCTTTGAACAGCGCTGTGCAAACATGCTTGCTTGGCGCCTCCCAAACATGACCAGGCATCAACATGGAGGAGGAGGAGGGAAAGAGGACTATCACTATCCCCAGTACACTAGGAAGCCTCCCAGGGACCTGCAGGTGAAACAGGGGCTCCTGGAGGACAGGTTCCCCTTCCTCTCCTCCCCGCCCCCAGCACTCACCTCTGCAGCTCCTTCAGGGACACTGTGATCCGCAGGCCATGGCCCAGGACGTAGAGAGTGGCCAAGATGTCTGCCCACTGCACCATCTCTCCCAGTGGCCCCCCCTTTAGCACTCTTGGGCTGAACACATCTCCAGACTCCTCCGTCAGGAAGCCAATGTGAACAAGGATCTGGGGAGGACACAGGGTCACCGTGAAGGAAGAGCAGCATTGCCCTGCCACCCCCAGGGGGACCCAGCCAGCAGCAGTCACTGTCTCCAGGCTGTGCCTGGGCAGGCGCTTCCTGGCACCAGCAGGGGGACCAAGAGGCAGAGTGACCATACAGGGCACTGGGGGTCAAAGTGAACAAGATGGTCACATCCCGCCCTCAAGGCGCTTACGTTCCAGATGGAAGAGGTAGACAAGAGTAAACACAGACAAGAGATGATTTCATGAAATGATAGGGACTCTGAAAGAAATAAACAGGGTGACGTGAGAGTCAGGTAAATATTGGATGGATGAATGTGGATGGATACATGGGTAGATGGATGGGTGGGTGGATGGATGGATGGACGGATGAATGATGGATGGGTGGATAGATGGACAGACCTACAAACCTCCCCAAAACAGGCTCTATTATTCCCAATATTCCAGGCAAATGACATGACTTTTCTGCCTGAAAAGAACAAGATATCTACAGAATGCAGAACTCCTACGTGGTGGATGGGAGGGTTAGTCATTCTACCCCAAATCTAAAAAGGGCCAGGGGCCACCACCACATGCATCTATCCTGACTCTGCCTCCCTCACCCCAGCTGAAACTCAAATAAACTCAATAAAACCTTTTCAAGGGCAGACCTGGTGCCCACTTGAAGGCCTGGGGCCCTAAGCTCACTCTCTAAGCTCTCTGAGCGCAGCTCCCTGAATGCACAGAGAAGCAGTACCTGCTTCTGGTCCCTCCAGACGCTTCCCAGCTTCCGTGCCAGCCGCTGGGCAGCCAGTGCCCACTGGGCCGTGAGCCGCTTGGTCCGTTTCTTCATGAAGATTAGAGACTCCTTCCCACTGCCCATCAGCTCCAGGAGGTGGGACAGGTTGCTCCGGAAAACTGCCTGGAGGGGGGCCCAGACCTGGGTTCTCCAGCCCCAGCCCCAAAGCCACACCACCACCATCACCTGCTGCCCTGGGAACAGGGGCTGGCACGCTCCCAGGAAGCTGGGGCCTACTCTAGCTTCTCCTGCCATTTATAAAGGCCCACAGACCCCCACAGTTGGGGAGCCCTGCTCTCACCCACCAACACTAGCCCCCCGGCCAAGCCGGTCTGTCCCAGCCCAGTTCTGGTCATCCTTCTGTCCCGAGCCCTTTGGGGGTGGCCAGCGATGACAGTCCCCAGGCGTCTCAGCTGCTACATAGAGACAGCAAAGGTGGTGGTCAGAGCTGGCCCTCGGACAGCAGGGAGGCCGGGCCACCTTTCAGTGGAGCTGGAGTAACAGGACACCTTGAACAAACTAACTGCACTCCCCAGACCTCAGACTTGCCATCTGTTCAGTGTGGTCGCATAAGGGACTGCTGGGAGGTTTCAGTACAGATAAAGCATCTGGAAGCCTTCCAGGAGCATCACTATTGTTACTATTATCCTAGCCTGTTTAGGGGTGCCTCCAGGGCCCCAGCTTGGCCCTTAAGCTGGCCAAGCTTTGCAGCATCCCCAGAAGGCTGGCAGGCTGGGACGCGCACCCCCACCAGGCACGGCTGGCCGGCCTCATTTTACCGGGGTCCAAGAGCTCCTCCTGTTGTCCCTTAAGGATGTCCCATCCAAGCAGGCCAGTCGACCTGTCCACCAGCCCCAAACAGGCCTACCCACTTCCCAGGCCTACCTGGACTTTGGGGAGGGGCTTGGGGGCCATCTGGGCGGCTGTCTGGTTCCTCCAGGGCAGCGGGGGGCAGAACCACTCAACCTCACTGAGGTAGATGAGGAAGGAGCACTCGGTGCCGTCCACCCCGAAGAAGGCATAGCAGGGGTCAGAGGTCCAGCGGGCACGCATCCACTGCGGAGAGGGCCAGCCTAGGCGAGGGTGCTGGCACAGCCCCACCCACGCCCTTGGCAGGCTCTTTGTGGGCATGTCCTTGGGGACCCAGGGTCCCTCAGGACAGGGCCTCTGGGACACACATTAAGAATGCAGCAAGGCCAGAGCAGAGAGGAGAGAAAGACCAGAGCCCCATGACCCGGCCCTGAGTCCTGGCCACGAGAACCCCGAGAAAGGCTGAGCAGGACCACTGTCCCCCAGGCCCAGAAAGAGGAGGGCCCCGGAAGAGTAAGGCCAGGTCATGACACACTCAGGGAAAGCTCCAGGGCGAACAGTGGGAGATGCAGCAGCTTGGGGCCTGGCTGGTCTCCACTGGGAGCAGGATCTGGTTGAGGCCAAGGTCAGGAGCCCACCCACGGGGATCCCCACATGTCAGCGAGGAAGGGGCGCCCAGGGCCGCTGCCCCACCCTCTTGGGGAGTTCGGAACCGGAGAGGAGCTGGCTTTCATGCCACAGACTGCATTCCCAGATGGACAGACTTCACGCAGCCACGGGCCCCTGGAAGTGAGCCCCCGGGGGAGGGGCCGGGGGCCTTTCTCAGTCCAGCTGGTCACAAGGATGGGGAGGGATGGGGAGACAGGGCCACTCAAGAGATCCAGTCTGGGTCTGAACTGGCGGGGATGCAGGCCGCTGGAGGTGTTACTAACAGTTTGTTTGCTGTAACAAAGTACCGGGAACCCTGAAACGTGATCGTGCTAGGCAGTGCGGGTTGGTGGGCCCCGCAGACGGCCCACGTAGAGAGGCCCTAAGGCTGGCCTCTGCCAGTGGGTACCAGGGTCAGGGGCTGGGGGCTGGGCAGACATCACTGCCAGGAGCAGGCTCTCAGAGCTGGTCTGGGGGCAGGGCCCCCTGGTCACCTCTACCCCATCCTCAGCCCCGAGCCTCACCTCCACCTTCCCTGAGCAGTCAGGGAACTTGGGGTCACTGGGTGCCTCACATTGGTCCCGCCGGCCTTCAGACACTGCGGGGGGAGAAGATCAGCTTGCTGGGGGCCTCGGGGGAGCCCAGGTCTGGGAGGAAGAGGTTAGCCCGGGAGCATACACTGCCCTCCCTCCCCTGGGTTTCCTCACCTGAAAGGCCACCCGCCAAGGGGTGCCCATGCCCGGGTTTCCCCCTCTGCCACAGGCCCCCTACCTTCCATACGGGCTTTGGAACCAGTGAGGAGCCAGCTTGAATGGCACAGTGTCTGGATAGGCAGACCTCATGCACCCACCCAAATGTAACCCTCTTGGGGGGCCCCCAGCCTGCTACTCCCCACATCAAGAAAAATGGAGGGGCCCCCCCAGGGACTCCAGGACCTCTGTTCTCACACCAGTCCCAGTGGGGTGAACCCCAAGTCACCCCACTCAGAGCCTGAGGCCAGAGGCAAGAGAGCTGCCCGGGGGGAGCAGTCAGGGCCACCCACACACTGGCCTCTTGGGGCCAAAGGGGTGCCCTGGGCCGCACCCTTGCTGTGCAGGACCAGGCTGTGACGCAGGATCTGGTCCACCTTCGCAGCGATGTCCGACACGTTCTGGGCAATGGCCTGGATCCGCTCCATGAGGCCAGCCCCAGGGGGAAACCTAGTGAGAGAAGCCAGGGGTGAGCGCACACAGCCTGCCTCGGGCACCTTCCTGGGAGGGGGGACGAGCGAGGGCAGCCAGTGTGAAGGCTCCTGGCGCCCACACGCCGCCCTGCCGCCCACCGGAGCGCAGCGATGGACGATGCTGGGCCTGGAGGTGGAGACGTGTGCCCCCCGCCCCCACCCGGCTAGAGGGGCTCTCTAGCTACCCGCTGCACACGCAAGTGCACATGTCCCAGGCGTGTGTGCACACTCACCCCCACGTGCGTGTGCCCCGCGTGCTGAGGGGCAGCGACTGAAGCTAAAGTGGGCAGAGAGATTCTCTGGGAGAGCCTGGGGGACCGGCCCGGGACCTCCAGGCAACGGAGGCCCTTTCCCGGGCACGGCCAGCTGCCCTGAGCCTGCGTCTCCATTTCCTCCCAGAGGGGCTCCGTCGTGCCAAAATAAATTCCACCCAAAGCAGCCTGGGGACGTGCCAACTATTAAGCCTCTAGTAAATTACTGTTGCTCTCCTGAGCCTGAATTCTCCCCAGGATCTTAAACACATTTACCGCCACAAACATCACAGCCCTCCGCCCACCACCAAGACTCGCCTTGCCCTTATTTTTGGAGAATTTATTTCCTGGCGTTGATTACTACTCAGCTCTCAGAGAAGTTTCTGAGACATTACACGCAGGATTTATCTCATCGCGAGGGCCTGTGTCGAGAGGGACCCCACTCCCCCGGGGGCGGGGCTGTCTAAGCGGCCTGCCCTTTCCGACACACTAACTCCGTTCCTTTGATTCCCACTTCACCGTCTGGTTCCGCGCAGCTTGTCCGAGCTCCGTCTATCCCTGTACAAGGACGGGGACTTCACTGTTGCACAAAGTAGGAAGTACAGGAGGGAGGACACCTCTTGGGTGGCCTGTCGTCTAGAGGAGGCACAATGGTGATGGCTGCCTGTCCCCTCAGGCCGCCCTCCCCTCCCACCGCTGCCCTCCACGTGGAGAGGTCGGGCAGTGGCACCGTCCACAGAGGGTGCGGGAGACAGGAGGTCGGGGGGGGTGAGGCAGTCATGGGGTGAGGTGGCAACAGAAACAAGTGGCAGGAAGGGGCAGAGAAGCCCTCGAGACACATTTGCGTGTCCTCGCGCACACATACACACACACACACACACACACACACACACACACAATCCCATCAACCGTCTCAAAAAGAAATGAAATGAAAAACCAACAGAAGCCGGCGTGCCTTGGCCACGGTAACACACGACCACAAAGTTATTCCCTCGCAGTCCTGGAGGCCGGGAGTCCGAACCCAAGATGTCAGCAGGGTGCATTCCTCCTGGGACAAAGGGAGGGGCCAGCTGTGCTAGTGGGACACATCCCCCAGCCTCTGCCCCTGCTGTCCCTTGGCCTTCTGTGTGTCCACATTCCCTCTTTCTACAGGGACCCCGTCACTGGATGAGGGCCCCCGATCCAGCGTGACCGCATTTTAATCTGACTGCACCTGCCAAGGCCACTTCCGGGGAAGATCAGGCTCATGGGCACTGGGGATTCAGACGGTGACGTGTCTGTTTGGAGGGCACAGCTCAGCTGCAGCAGCCTTCTATGAAATTACAAAGAAGGAGAGCACTCAGAGATGCTGCTGCTTTTGTTCAAAACATCCTCAGACAGGAGGAAGTAGGGGTAATTCTCCTTGGTCTTCAGGTGGCCGAGGACCGCCAAGGGGAAGACGGCGGCCAGCATCTCTCCAGGTTGTGGTAAAACAGAGGAGCTGAAGATCTGCCCCTCGGGAGCTGTGCAACCCCCAGGCAAGTCACTTAGGCTCTCTGTGCCTCAGCGTCCTCCTCTTTAAAAACAGAGGCCTGCGATGGCAGGACACTAGACCGACGCTGCTTCTCCACTTTTCCTCATTACCACCCCCGAAGGAGCCTCTGTAGACGTATTTCTCCCCACCCGCCTCCTCTGTAAAAAGTTAAAACCAGGGACATGCTGCTGCTCAGTTCACACACTGTGGTCTGCGGAGAGCCACAGACTGTGGTGACGTCGAAGGTAACTTCCGCCTCAAGAAGCAGACTTCACCCTTAGCGGGTGACATGTCTCCCCAGAGGATGCCCCGGCGTCCGTCGGGCTCTGCAGTTCATTCCGAGCGAGCCTTCTGGAGCTGCTTCCCCTGCTGACCTGCGGGGACAGGACGGACACCCCTCTGCCTGGAGGAAAGTGCTGCTGTCCACAGGCAGTGGCCACCATGCGGAAGGCCCGAAGCTCGTGGCTGCCAGGTCAGGGTTCATGCTGAGCATGGGCGGCCGAGGAACAACGGGGGAGCTCCCGGGTGGGGAAGGACTGCGTACCCCTCCCAGCTTCTAGCCAGAGACCCCAGAGCACAAACAACCCTTGTCAAGGACAAGTGGAAGGTCCTGCCAGGTCCCTGGAGACTTGGGAAGGGACCCTGCTTTTAGTCTTCCTGAAGGGGTCTCTCCCTCGAAGGTCTGCTCTGGTCATCCTTTGGGAGCGAGGTCACTCCTCTGAGTCCCCTATGTGCTGGGACATGGTTGTGAGTGGCCGGCTTGAAACCCCCAGTGGAGGTCGGGGGACCCGGCTGGCTCAGTCGGTGGAGCACGGCACTCTCTATCTTGGGGTTGTAGATGTGAGCCCTACGTTGGGTGTACAGATGACTTTAAAAATCTTTTTTTTTTTAAATATTTTATATATTTATTTGAGAGTGAGCGAGAGAGAGAGCACACGAGCAGGGGCAGAGGGAGACGGAGAAGCAGATTCCCTGCTGAGCAAGAAGCCCGATGCAGGGCTCAATCCCAGGACCCCAGGATCATGACCCGAGCTGAAGGCAGACACTTAACTGACTGAGCCACTCAGGTACCCCAAAAATAAAATCTTAAAAAAAAAAAAAAAAAAGGAAAGAAAGGAAAAGAGAAGAAGTCCCAGTGGAGTCCTGAGCCCTCAAGGACAGGAACGTGCTTTTGGATGGAGCCTGGCACTACTGCCCAGCATGGGACGTGTGCCCAGAGCTCCATCCCCGTGCGGGGCTGAGTGACGTCCCCCTTCCCTGTGGTAGATTCACATCTACCCAGAACCACAAAAAATATGACCTTATTTGGAAATAGGGTCTTTGCAAATGTAATTAGTTGAGATGAGGTCATGCTGAATCAGGTTGGGCCTCAGTGTCCTTAGGAGAAGGCCATGTGAAGACAGCCACGAGCCAGGGGAAGCCTGGGCCACCAGGAACCGAGAGAGGGAGGGAAGGATCTTCCCCCGAGGTTTAGGAAGGAATGAGGCCTTGCTGATACCTGGATTTCAGACTTCAGCCCCCAGAACCAAGAGAGGAAATCATTTTTATTGTTTTAAACCATCCGGTTTGCAGTCATTTTTTATGGCAGCCCAAGGAAACAAATGCATCACGGTCTGCAAAACTGAGGGAAAATGGTTTTTAGTCCATCACAAAAAGAGAGTCTGCGGGGGGGCTGGGTGGCTCAGTCAGTGAACCGTCTGCCTTTGGCTCAGGCCATCATCTTGGGGTCCTGGGATCGAGCCCCATGCCGGGCTCCCTGCTCAGCGGGGGTCTGCTTCTCCCTCTCCCTCATGTTCTCTCTTTCTCTCTCTCAAGTAAATAAAATCCTTTGAAAAAAACAAAAAACAAAAAAGCTAACAAAAAAAAAATACAAAAAAATAAAAGGAGAGTCCAGGTTCTCCTGGGCCCCTGCTGTCAGAAACGTCTCTAACGGCTCTGCCTGCTGAAGCCCAAGCGTCCCCTGCTGCTACTTTCAGCGGAGACGGAGAACAGCCAGAGACGCCCTTGACCTCTCAAGTCCCAAGCCAGTGACTCTCCACATTACGCAGAGACTAGGAAGATCGAGGGCCTCAGAGTCAGAGGTCCGGGCTTCAAATCCTGACTCCAACGGGCAGCTGTGTGACCTTGAGCAAGTTACCTGACCTTTCTGAACTCAGGTCAGCTCCTATAACAGCTGGATAATCTCGACTAGCTCAGAGGGACTCCCAGGATTCGACAACGGGCTGAAGAGCCCGGCTCGGCGCGGAGCAGAGACTCAGCAAACGCTTGGGTTGCGTACGTTCCCTACCTACAGCAGTCAACCTCCCCAAAAGGAAGTTTCAAATGTCCGACCGCAGAACAAAGCACATCCCTTTTTAGAGGATTTTCACCCGATAAGCGTTTCCCGGGAGCATCACCCGTGAGGGCTCTAAACGGCGCAGGTGGCATCTGTCTGATTTCACGAGCTCAGCTTGTTTGAATCGGAATGACTTGGCGTCTCTGTTATTCAACCGGACTTAGCATTTGGGCAGCGCTGCCTGTTGTCAAATAATCTACGATTCGTCCTCTCTCCCTGGGATGCTCTTTTATAAAACGGACAGCAAAAGCAGATGCCTTGAGACCACAGACCACAGCAGGGCAGCAGCCTGGGAAGCGCAAAGAAGGGGAATAAACTGGGAAGTCGGGGCTTGGCAGCCTCCAGCCGATGGGGCCCCAGATAGTTCTCCCGAAAACATCATGGTTCTTTCTAAGGGCCCCATTGTGCAGAGGAGGAAACCAAGGCACAGCCAAGCTGAGTTACTCACTCAGGACCACAGCTTTAATGTGGAAAAATCAGGTACCAGTTCACCTGCAAGGGGTCTGTGCCTAAGGGTGGGCACAGAGGCAGGTGAGTAGGACCAAGGCCTTGAGCTAGGGAGTGACATCGTGGGGGTGGAACCCTCAGTACCCCACCCCTGGCAGGTGGTGAAGGCTAGAAGAGCTCTAGCAGAAGGCATCTCCCTGTCAACACCACTCCTAACCCTGCAGGGCCTGCTACCAGGGTAGAGAGCTGGAATTGTGTCTACAAGGCAGGGAGTTCGCAGGGACTAGGCACCCAGCCTCGCCCCTGCTGGTGCAGGTGACCGGGGTGACCTTTAATCCTTCCTACTTGATGCTTATTTTTATTCCTCCCCTGTTTTATCGTTGGTGCATGCTTTGGTGGGTAAGCCGGACGAGCCTGAATGGGTCTAATGA